GTACGGGGAATCTCTGTAGGACATATTCTTTTGGGTTAATTTAAATTGTATTTCGAAAAATCGTTCGAATATAAATTTGTATCTTTAAAGATCAAAAATTTTAATTTATACCCTCAAAAATATAAATTTGTATCAATGTGTACCTCAAGTTAACAACCATCAGTTTGTCGTCTAAAATTAAATAGATAAATTATACATAGACCCCCTCTTGTTACTTAATCACATAGACCCTTCACATTTGAAATATTACACCTACATCTCTTTAAAATATAAATAAAACTAAAAATATTCCCCTAATTGGGCATCCAAATAATTATATTTAAGTGATGTATTGCATTACATATAAAGAATATTATATAAACTTGATTTTGAACTTTAGAGTATAATGAACCCACAAAATAAAGAGTAATATAAAAATTATAATTTTTTATTAGAATGAAATCATAATTTTTAACGATTATATTAACAGATATCAAACAACAAAGGGTTTTTTCACGTGCTTTCAATATTTTCTCCGGTGGGTGGAACGACAAAGTCCTAGGCACAATCTGAAACATCACGACTAGAACAAGTTGAAAGCGTGCCAATTCCACGCTAATTGAGGTGTATTATTGTTGTGAGTTTCAATGTTAGATGAAGTCTACGATCAATTCAATGGTTGTATATCATTAGGTCTAAATAACATTTCATAAGGAACTAAATTTCGTTTTGAAACAGTCGAAAAATTTTCGTTTTCATAAAGATCGAAACGAATCATTAATTAAATATCATAATTCATATATTTCGAAGTGTTTCGGTATGTTTCAACTAGGGCCTACTTAAGCTCTAGGTCGTTATGGTACTTGCCCAGGGTCCCAAATTTTTTAGGGCCGCCAAAAATATTTACTCATTTTAGTATAATAAATCTAATTATATAGATATATTAGATATGATTTAAATTTTTAAGGCCTAAATTTTAAAAGTTTAAATTAATATTTAATTTTATTAGGTCTAAAATTACTCTCTATTTGGTTAATCTCAAATTTTGAAGGGCCTCTATTTATTTTATCCTTTTAATATAATAGTCCTATATAGATATACTAGTTATTTCTCGTGCCTAAAGGGTTAACATATTTGTATTCATACCCAAAATTAAATCACAAACGTAAATGAAAAATAAAAAATTTTAAGCATCGATTGTAATGGGGGTGAGTGGTGGTAGTGGTGGTGGGTGACAGTGGTAATGGTGGAAGACGGTGATAGTTGTGGTGGGTAAGGCGATGACCGTGGTGGTGGTAGCAGCTGTGGGTGGCAATGGTAATGGTGGTGGTGGGTTTTGAGTGATGACGATGGTAGTGGTAGTCATGGGTGACAATAGTGGTGGTGGTGGACGTCAGTGATAGTGGTTGGCAGTGGTGGTGGTGGGCGGTGATGATAGTGGTGGTGGGCGACAATGGGTGTTCCTAGGCGGCAGTGTGATGGGTGGTGGCGAATGACAATGGTGATAAATGTGGTGAGGGTAGGTAACAATGGGTGTCAGTAGAGATGGGCGATGACAGGTGGTGGTGGTTGGTGTGGTAGGAGTAGGTGACAGTGGTTGGTGGCGATGGTGGGCAACGATGCGTGCTGACGGTGGTAGTAGGATGATGGTGGTAATAGTAATAAATATAAGAATAAGATGACGATGATAGTGGGTGATGGCCATGGGCGATGATAATAGTAATCGGTGGTAGGTGACGATGGTGGTGGTGGTGGCGGCGATGGGGTAGTGAGGGTGGGAATGGCAATGGTGGGTTGGCGATGGTGATGGTAGTTGTCATGGGGGGGTGGTGGTGGTGGGTGGAGGTGGGTGGGGTGGTGGGGCGATGAGGGTGGTAGGGGTGATGATGTGATAGTAACAGTAGTGGTAAAGTGCAACAACGATAGTGATGATGGTATGGTGCGGCAACGGTGGTGGTGGGGCGATGGTGATGGTGGGACGGTGGTGGTGGTAGTAGTTATGGTGGTGGTGGGACAATGGAAGTAGTGATGGTGGCAGCGGTGGTGGTAGTGGTGGTGGTAGCGGTGGTGGCAGTGGTGGTGGTGGTGGAGCGGTGGATGTGCTAGAGGTAGTGGTGGGACAGTTTCCAACACTATTATTTTTTTAAAGTATTTATGAGAAATAATTCCTAAAAGTACTTTTAAAAGGTCACTCCAAACACATTCTTATGTCCCTATTTTCCCTATTAAATTTGGAGTGTAAATATTAACCGTTAGATTAACTTTAAAATAAAATTTAAAGCGATCTCAACCACAAATAAAAAAAAGTCATTTTATTTATTTTTTGAGATTTGAATTGTATTATATTTTATTATATATATATTTTGTATTTTATATATAAGAGAAATTTGGAGGCTGGTCCATCTATGTGGATTTATTTAGACTTAAGTTCACCAAAAAAACTTATTTGTTATGAAGTTCGTTTTTTTTATCAATTTTACCAGATTATCTCTTCCCTCAGAAGTAAAGTAAAACTAAAAATTAAAAACTCATAAATTTTAAGAGTTTGACTAACATTAAAAAAATTTCTCTCTCATATCTATCTATATCCATATATAGGTTAGAACTATATATATATTAAAAATAAAAAATAGTAATATTTGAACACAAAAAATAGTAACATTTAAACATAAAAAAATAGTAACATTCAATATCAATATTTTAAAAAAATAACAATAGTAGCATATTCAATAAAAATAGTAACATATTCAACAAAAATAGTAACATGTTTAATAAAAAACAGTAACATGCTTAACAAAAAAAAAATAGCAATATGAAACATTGAACAAAATTAAAAATAAAAATAGTAACATTCAAACACATAATTAGAGAAATAAGCTTTCTGTTCTTCAACATCCAAAAAAGTAACACTAAAAAAATAATATGTTTTATAAAAATAGTAACATAAGAAAAAAATAGTGATATGTGTTAGTAAATTATGTTTTAAAATTGATGTTGCTATGCTAACATCAAGTACTTGGCGTGTACTACTCATGTTACTTTTTCAAAATCTCGAGCTTGTACCTCAACTCTAACCTTCATCTTTTTCAAATTAGCTTCAAATCTCAAAAGTCGATTATTTAAATGTATAACAGATAAAATAATGATTTAAGAATTTAAATTTGAAGTATTGTGGAAAGCTAGTAATCGACAATTACCATCGTAAATCAAACATTCATATATTTAATCATTGGCCTCCATATATAACTTCTTGTAGATAATGTCTTTAGCTTTCCATAACTGACCAAATTAACACTGTTAAGAATATTTTTGAGATTAAAAAAAAGTGGACTTAAATCCTTACAAATAAGATTAAAAATAGACTTATCCCCAATTAAATTTTTTTGACGGACTCAAGACATTATAAGTTCATTTGGGAGGACCCAACCCTAATTTTCATTAGATATAATTCAAATTTTTAGGGCCCAAATTTTAATAATTTAATTCAATACTTAATTTTGTTAGATCTAAAATTACTCACTCTTTATGAACTTTTATTTAAATTATTTTAGTTCTTTTGGATGTGTTTATAATTGTATTCCTTGCACTCACATAAAAAATTTATATACGTTATCTTTTGTGGTGAAAATTTATAAAATTGGTTACTGCGATTGTGTGTGTTATTAAAGATTTGTACTTCATGTGCACATAACTCGTGGGTAAAAAATGATTATTTGCTCATATATTTTATCATTAAATTATTTGTTTAAAACTTAAATTGATAAAATTTATTTACACTTAATTAAGCTTAAATGAATTAACTATTTTATTTATTGAGAAAGATTTATTGTCAAAACTTAAATATAAAAACTTGATCAATATTTTTGTATTTCAAAAAATAAAAAATATTATATATTAATAAAAAAATTATTAATTGGGTCCCATATAAAATTTTCGTGTAGGGCCCCACCTTACCTTGGGCCGCCCTTAGTTTCATCTAATATTTCGATATGTTTTAACCAATATTTTGAAAATAAATTTTTAATTTTTTTTTATTTTCATCTTGTTTTCGAAACATTGCCGAAATATTTCTGTTTTTAAGTTCATCAAAATTATACACCAAAATAAATTTTTGATCCTTGATGATAACTATAACGTGAAACTCAAATCAATAACTTGAGGTGAAATGGAAAACTTTATAATTAAAGGGTAATGTGTCTAGAAAGGACAAAATGTGAATTTCCCTGACTGCCTGGAATTTTTTAGCCATATTCTTTCGATGTACAATAATTTTTTGTTTGTTTTTTTGGGGGAGAGTTGAATCCTTGGTTTTGCAAAATTTGTACAAGTTAATGGGTAATATTAGACTACAAACTCATTAGTGCACATTACGTTTTCGCCACCAGTCACAAGATCTCATACACAGACTCTTTCTTTTCTTTTTCCTTTTTTATACATAAAATAAATATGTAAATACCATCATTTCACGTAGGGAAATGCTATTTGTACATTATTTATGAATTTTATTTAGAGATTTAATGATGTATAATCATTAAATTGATTGTGAATTTCATTTAATATTGAAACTAACAACTAATCTAATGATTATATTAAAATCACATTATTAAGTTATTAAATAAAATTTCTATAACGTTGCTCTTTCACATATTAGTAAGAAAACATTGCCTTTTAATACTTTACAATTTTACTTTTATTTTTTTTGGTTATAAGATATTTAGGTTTGTATCGATTACTCTTTTGAGTTTTAAATCGATCACCGTAATTTAAACTAATTTAAAAATATATTCCAAACAAGAATGAATGACTATTAAAAACTATGAGAAATATCGTAGCTAAAAAATCTTATTTATAAGAGAAGAAACTTTAACTATTGGACCATTTCTGAAAATTCAACAACTCCACTTATTCGTTAATGACCATTGCCTTTCAAAGCTCCTCAACTATCTGCAAGAAATTTCACCATAGTTATGTTAATACTGCATACGCCTTTTTAATAACCCTCTCTCCTCTTTGACGCCACTATGCATGTATGTATTGCTAGACTATTCCACGTACATGTACACTTTCAGCTACAAATCAACATCTCTCTCTCTTTTAGACCACAAAGTTGGTTGATTCTATCTTAGTGCAAGTGGGTTGGTACGTACAATCGATCACATAGATCTTCGACGATACTGATCGAGCAACAGAGATGTCGGAAAACAACGACGTTTCATTCAGGAAACCGGCGTCCAGACTCCGGTGGGACGTGTTTCTAAACTTCAGAGGGGAAGACACTCGCGATACTTTCACTGACCGGCTCTACGAAGCGCTATATCGAAAAGAAGTCCGAGTCTTCCGCGACGACGACGGGTTGACTCAGGGAGATTCACTCACTCCAACTCTTCTCAACGCGATCGAAGACTCGGCGGCTTCGATCGCCATCATCTCCCCCAGTTACGCTTCCTTCAGGTGGTGCCTCGAAGAACTCGCTACGATCTGCGAGTTTAAACGACTCGTTCTTCCCGTTTTCTACCGAGTCGACCCGAGCGATGTTCGGAGACAGAAAGGACCGTTCGAAGAGGATTTTCAAACACTGGAGAGAAGGTTTGGAACGGAAAAGGTGTTGCGATGGAGAAATGCTATGGAAGAAGTCGGTGGAATTTCCGGTTGGGTTTTCGATGGCCGGTAACAAACACTGTCTTCAATCTCAAGAAATTCTAACTATTTAGAGTCTTGACTATATAATCTTTTTCTCAGATCTAATTTTTAAACATCACAAGAAAAACTCTTGAAACCCTATATTAGGCCTTTAAAATTCGTGTCTCGTTTTTCGTTTTTTTGAGGGAAAAGCTTATTATCATGCTTATAGCATATCCTAATTCTGATAGTTGGTTCAGTTTAAATCAGAGTAAACTCAACCCGAGGCTGTTCAAATAATAATAATAAAGATGAACTGTAATTTGTGTTTTAATCTTGTCAACCCTTTGTGGTCAAGTTTCATAAATTATCTGGTCTAGGCGTTGATACCCTGTCTTGTGAGGAAGTTAATCCGGATACTCTTGACCGTTGATTTAAAAAAAATCAAATTAAACTCTAATTCATGTATAATTAATTTATTAAGATTCGGTAAAAACCTTATTACGACTTTGAATAAAATTTTATACTTCAAATTGGCCTGGAAAAGGATATGGGTGCTCGTTAATTTAACTTAACTTGTAGCCTTAGACATGGAAAAATGGTAAAGAAGATTTATTTGGTCAACTCTAAATATTTAACGTTAATACTGAATTGATTGAAGCCTGTGCTTTAGTGCTAGAGTTAGTATATTATAAAGAGGAAGAGCGATTAAATATGGGATTTGCAATAAACTATGTAAGGGACGGTGATGTAATCTTTAGCTCTTTATATGTAAGGTTAGTTGCCTTTTGAAGATTGTGGTTCCTACGGCATTTTGCCATTCTTTAGTGGCCATTTTCCAATTTATTTATTAGTAGCTGTGGTATTTTTAAGTCCCCAGTTGTTCCTGTTGGATTTATTAATTCTCTTGACTTCTCCGCAATTGGGTGAATATTCTGATAGGAGTATCATTTTTTAAGTTGTTACATGAAATCTACCCTCAACCATTAATTATGATTCTAAAATGGTATTTGGACTTAATTTGAGAATTTAATCTAGAAACTTTATTCAATGCAACCATTGAATTGAAAGTGAGCTCCATCTAATATTAAAATTCATAAATAATTCAATGGTTGTATTGAATTAGGTCCCCTAAATTAGATACCTGGAACATTACACTTATAGATATTATATTGGAGTCCTCTCTAAAACTCTCTTTACCATTCAATCGTAACCATTTTGTTATTGATATTCATGGGATAGTACCATGAAAAAAATTTGGGTACCATTTTAAAACTTATTCTTATTAATAGTCATGTTATACCTTTTAAAGTTGAAATTATAATTAATTTGGGTTATTCATGGTTGATCATAAATTGTTATGATCGGTTATGAATGATCGCAATCAAGTGTGGATTGACTTTCAAAAGTTTTAACTTTTATGATTGATCATGTCATTTGTAGTTATAATTTACACTTTTTATTAAAAAAAATTTGTAATTTTTTCTATAGTACATCCTGCGGTACCCTAATCTTCCTCATATTCATGTAGCATCTCTGTAATTAGTACGTACTAATGACAGTTTTTCCTACCAGTGACGAGGAGTCACAGTTGATTGAGCGTTTAGTCAAGAGGATTTCGGCTGAATTGAGCAATAGTCCCGTTTTTGTGGCTCCATGTACTGTTGGACTCAATTTTCGTATACAGGAACTTATGGAATTGTTAGATGTTAAACGCAATGGCATTCAAGTGTTGGGGTTTTATGGAATGGGTGGGATCGGTAAGACAACCCTTGCCAAGGCTCTCTACAACAAACTTGTCAGTCACTTTGAACATCGTAGTTTCATTGAAAATGTTAGAGAAAGTAGTGCAAGGCAAATGGTTTATTATCACTTCAAAACAAACTTATTGGTGATCTTTCCCAAGGAGTTTTGCAACCAGTGAATGATGATGATGCCGGTAAGGTGGCAACTAAGAGGATACTTT